GCACCCGTAGTGGCCGAAGGAGTCGTCGCGGCGCTTGCAGAGGCGGGAGCAGCTGTCCCCGTAGTAGTGCTCGCTGCAGATCACCCGGTAGGAAAAGCGCAGCTGGGTCTGCGAGCTGCTCTTCAAGTCCTGGGACCAGTTCTCGCCCACTGCCAGCGGCCCCTGGATCGTCACGTTGCTGATCCGCCACTCTTCAGCCAGGGCCTGGGAGCCTGCGGAAACACACAGCTCTGGCTCAGCACCGCTGCGATACAGCCGCTGCCCCACACTGCTTCCCCAACCGCTGCGCCCCCCACCCCCGGACAGCGACACTCCACATTGCACCCCCAAGTCGGTGCCACACCCCAGCGCATCTCACATTGCCCTCCCCCAGTGATGTACCCTAAATCTACGCTACATCCGGCAAGTGCCATCTCTCCAGCCAGAGCCACCCACAAACTGCCCATTGCAACCACTGACACCCCCTCCGCGTCACATCAAAATGCTCAAAGTTCCTAACCACAGACCAGTGCACATTACTTTTATCCATGCAATGGTACAGATCCTGGGCCTAGTGACAACATCACTGTTTTCCCTTTTAAACGAAATAAGGACCAACGTCAAATAAGGGGATACTAACTGGAGGGACAATTTCAAGGTGTATTTTGCACGCGTTGGGGGGGACGGGGACGAGGAGGTACAACGTGCTAATGCAAAGCGCACCAGTTGGAGTTCAGGAACAGTACTGCTGCTATTGTTTCCAGTATCAATGATTATCAACCATGAACCTAAGAGGCTTTGCAGAAAGCTTTTCAAAGTGAGAACTGTTGTGCTTTGAAATATCCTTTTCCTCTGTCAGAAAAACATCCCAAACCCATTATTCCTTTTCCAAAGGGCGGAATTTGAAAAAGGTGTAAAATACAGGAAAAGGCAGTCATGACTTTTTGGCAGCCTTGTCGTTTTCTCACCAAAGAGCTCCTTTCTTTCCCACGCCAAAAATAAACGGGAGGAAACGCAATTGTGTTGGAGATTAGGTAGGGGACAAAAATCAAAGCAAACCTGATGGATATAATTTAGGGAATAGCTCCCGCTTGTAGGATAAAGCTAGCACCAAGATTTAGTATAAACATCGGAATTCAATAAGGTCAATTTAGCTTACTTTAAAACTTTTCTTGTGACATTGACAGGTTAACTATTTTGGATTAGTTTGCAAACAAGCAAGGAATTTTAGGAAACGGTCGCCCTCTTGTGATTACTAAGTGCAGTTGTAACACACACACTGGCAAGTGTGGTTCACTGTCCCATGCAGTGGCACTTAAACCACTTACAGAGAGAAAGAATAATGAGTTTGCGCTACACAGCTTTAGCTGAGAGCCAGCTGGCTTTTAGCTCAAGCAGTACAGGCTCACGAACTAAGCTGCAGAAGTCCCAGGCTGGGTTCCTTACACAGTGACATTCACCTTCTGGAAGGTAATTTGCAGGAGCATGCCAGGCTTCAATGATCAGTGAGAAAGTCCCCTGCAAATGGAAACAAACCACAAGTGAGAGGAAGATCGAGAATTTGAGATAAGCCAGACCTTGACTGAAATGGATCAGGAAAGGTTTGGGTCTGTCACTGAGTCTTCCGTGGGAGCTGAAACAATTGGGTGAAACAAGGAAACCTCTGATGGGGAGTTCTGCCAGGTCGCAGATATACATTTAATTAATCTAATTGCAGATAGCATTACTGTGTCCGAGTCAATGACACGGAGCTTCCTTAGGGCTGTTTCATCTCTTGGGAAAACGTGTCTCTTGTCTTTCACTGACAAGGGCATTTTGTTTCGGTTTTGATGGTTTTTCTCAACCTCCCCCTCCCACGAGTTTTGTTGATCGAACATTTCCCCAGCTTGCGTGTATTTCCAGCTCTCTTCCTGTAAGTAATATTGATGTCTAAGTGCTTATGGACTGGATGCATTTTCCATCTCTTCTTTAAAAGGAAGTTATGAAAATAAGCGTAATGATGAAAGTAATTTGTTTATAAAAACGCATTTTGTTTAACCTGCTCACCCTCCTCCCCTACATTTTAAGTCATGTTTAAGGTGGGATCTCACCGGCCACGTGAAGTTAAAGGGCAACTTAATGGGGCTGCCAAATCTCTCTGTTTCTTTGATGCTGAAGGAGTTTACTCCCAGGACTGGGGTGACGACGCTGCCGAAAGTGCAGGAACCCGGAGAGACCACTGTCTGAAAATGCTTCAGACACACACGAAAGAAGGTCCTACAGTGGGGCGAACAGGGTTTTCCGCTAGCCAGGGCCCCCTGGCTATTCGCAAACTCGTGCAGCTCCAGTTGGAAGACGCCAGAGCCGGATACCCTCTGCACAAAGAGGAGACACACAAAACAGCCACATCAGAGCTTACCCCCGGTTTTGCCACACATTTGGTTTCCATCACCCAATTACATTTAGGACCACGCATTCAGCGAACCCCCGTTTTTCAATATGTGATTACCTGCTGGAAAATCATTAACAGAAACATCAAGCCAAAGATGCGCAAAGCTGCCATCCTCTTGTTATTCAAGGCTTCACACGCTTAGTGGGAACTGGGTTTAATTTTCCTCCGGTATTCCTCAAATGGTCCAAGTAAAATGCTTCTTCCTTGAGACAAAAAGTCGTCACAGCAATTCACCTGTCCTTCCAAATATTTCCCCAACCACCAGTAGAAAATGGAAGGTATAATCCAGGTGTTTAAACCATCCCCCTCCGGGAATTAATCCTGCAGCCAACGACCACACTCTGATTGCTTTAGTCGCGTTTATAAACTCCAAAGCCGAGTGGATTTGTTGAGAGACGCACAGGGGTGTGTTTAGTGTTGAACTGCTCCTCCTTCACCAGAGCTAACAGCGCTCAGTAAATGGATAACTTGCTTCCCTTGGAGCTGTTTATATAGTTGCCTCTTGTCCTCGCATGCTCATTATGTAAACTGTCAGTCAGACTCACGGGCGGGCCCTTCCCAAATGTGGAGAGCCAGAATTAATACCCTGCTGCAGCAGCACTGACCACCAAGGAGACGAGCTGATTATTAACAAGCCAAGCATCTGTTGAGATATTTACAGCACTCACACTAGGAGAGTTCCCTCGAAAATCAGACGTTTTTCCAAAGAGAGAAGCTTTCCAAAGTAGCCAGATAATAAAAGCTAAAATAGGAAAGGGAAAAAAAACCCACCCTTATTTTTATATTACGCGATCGCCATCCAGCTTCAAATTCCTCCCAAAGACAAATGATTGCTAAAGACAAACACTGCACCTACGACAGCCTCCTAGTGACGAAGTTACCTGCCTTGCCCGCTGGCAGGTAGAAAGTAAAAGTAAAATTGTCCTTCTGAGAAAGTGAAACGCACTTTTGCTGTAGAATTGTGTCGCCCCTCGAAACCCTTACTACAGTGTTGCCTGCATTGTGCTCTGGGATCACACGGCTTAATTTTGAGGTACGCGTGCGGAAGGCCGCCCCTGACTTCGCTCTCAGGTTATTTCTAATCACAACTAAGGCCATTCACCCAGCGAGGGAGCAGGAAAAAAATAAACAGCCGCAATCTTCCACCCACGTTCTGCAGTTGAGTTTGGTTACCTGTTTGATTTCTGCCTAACCGTTTAAACTAGGGGGTTCTAAGAGGTCACTTTGTCATCTTTCTTCAAAAGCCCGGAATCCATTTGCCCAGGGACACATCCATGTTGACAAGATAAACTCAGGTGAGAGCGACCTTCAGTGAAACTTAAAGGCACTGGGAAAATGTAAGACCCGCTTGGACTATTTTGGGGGCGAACCCAGCAAATCACTAGAGATTGTGTAAAATGGATTTGTTAGTGGCTATTCTCGGGCTAAGAGTGTACCCTAGTTGTAGGGCTGGCGTGTGTCAGTAAAGCCGCCTGATTGCAATGTGTGCTCATTGTTGGGTCGCGTGTCCCTCATTAAAGCCAAGCACAGAGAAGGCCTTTCATGTGGCTTTTTATTTCAGCTTGTTAAAAGGAGGGGGTTGGGGGAAGATAAACCTTCAGCTGTATGATAATGAGGTCTTGCCACCTTTACACCAGGGTCTAGCTCCAAAGGCTATAACCCTTTCTGCTGCAGATCACCTGTAGATCAACTCGTTGCCCCAATAATTTGGAAAACGTTTTATCATTAAAAAAGCTTTTATAAAAAAAGGTGTTTCAATACAACTTGACCGCCCATATCCATTCTCTCTGCGAGGCCCGCGGCTTTGCTCATTTTGATGCGAGGGAACAGATAAAAAAGAGATGTGCTAACGGAGACTACTGTTTAGCCTCCTTCTTAGATTTCCAACAAGTCATTTGTTTCCACAAGAAGAGAAAACAGCTGTAGGCCTTGGAACAACAAACGTCGGGGGAGGAAGGGAGGGAATGGTAGAACTTTTGTGAGGAAATATCGCTGCTACATGATACCTTTCACATACACGAGGGAGTAAATGGCCAATGTAGACGTGCCCAGCTGTAACCCAGAGTTGTTGAATTGCCTTGATTGGACAGAACTGCCTTTGTAATTCCGGCATCTAGGTGGGTGCTGAAAATTTGCTTCCCTTCAAAACGGGCGTAAACTTCAGCTGTGCTTAACATTCGAATCATTTACTCTCGCCGTAACGATTCGGCGCAAACTTCCCCAAGCAGAAGGACCAGCTCTGCAGGAGTAGATCCGCTTTACACTGCACCTGTAGCATCTAGTCCCCAGTGGAGAGGGGGCCAGCAGCTGCTTTCTCCTTCGACCACAGTGAACTATAGCCCGACTTTCTCCTTTGTTTGCCCCTTAACACTAGTTCTCTAAGGACTGACTCTCTGGCTATGGATGGGCCTGTAATTTGGTGTTTGATGTGTCAGGTGAAGGCGCAGGGCGACCCTGTTGGTGATGAGCTGTGTACCAGGTACTTTACAAAGGCGCGCAAGAAGGGCTGCAAGAGGGCCAGCCATTGTCGTCTCGGATGAAATTTCCCAGTAAACAACTCGGAAGGAGGAGGAGGAGGAGGAGGAATGTGCCGGCGCCTGCTGGAGGCGGAATTCTGCAGCGAGCTGACCAGCAGAGCCCCGCTTCGTCAGCAGCAGCAGCGTCAACTGTCAAAATCAAATCTGATGCTAATAGCTTCGGTACTAAATAAAATGAGCGGCCAGATAACATCAGTGCTTGATAAATGGTAATGAGTGCCTAACCTAGGGGAACAGAAGGGCTGTGGGGCTCTTTAATTCACTATTGAAAGGCTAGCTGGGTACGGCAGGCTCTAGCAGATGTTAGTATGTGTGTGTTTTGATTTTTGACTTGTATTGGAGGTTTATTAGGCTAACCAGAGCCACCCCACGCACGGCCACTTGGCCCAGGCACCATCTGGCACAAGCAGGGCGGCGTGCAGGAGCAGGGCAGCGTATTGGTGCTGAAGATCCACAGGCAGCATCTACCATATGGACTCGGTCTATTCTTCCAAGCTAATGTAGGTTAAAGCAAGACAAGCTGATCTCTTTTCGCAGCTCCGCCGAACCTCACTGAAACCTTCCCAACGTGCACCTTTGCGGATAGAATTTCACGTTGGAGCCGAATGCTTTAGGCATCAGCTTCCCTGCCTTGATCAAAATATTGTGATGGGCGCATACTTTCCAGTCCCCTGAAATGTAACTAGGCTGCTCTTACCTGCTTTGGGCGCCATTACTTTTAGCTTCGGCCCTTTCACTTATTTCTCTCTAACTGACAGAAACTCGAATTGCTCCTATTTCGCCAGGATCCCCACAAAATAAATATTTTCAGAGCACCCTTGTGGTACAAAACAGGTGTAGAATCCTCCCTAAACGCCAGGGGTTATTGTGATTGCAGCCATAAACGAGGTTGTAATAAAATAATAAATACGAAATAGACCACCTGCTGCATGTTGACCAAAACAAAGTTTGGATAATAAAACTGCATTAATAGTATCCAACAGTTGGGTCTAAAAGTTTACACAGTGCAGGTGAGAAGCAGAGTTTTATCTAATGTGTGTTTTCTACATACCTATTAGCATGCAGTCTTAGGGTCGTTTTAAAGTAGATTACTCAGTATCGTTCATACCTCCCTAGTAGATTGGCCTCAGCTTTTTAGAAACTCTGATTTCAGAGGTTTAGAACGTGATCGTTGAATGCCATTTTCAATCTCCGTTGGATTATTCCTTCCTCGCTTGCTCCAATATATTGCTCAAACTACTGTAAAACAAGAGACTAGGGAAATGGGTAAGAAGGGGATTTAGATGTCTTTTTATCTCTCAAATGTATTTGTCTTAAAAATCAGTTGAGTTCCAATCTCTCTAAGACTTACACACTACTTAATTTTTAATCAGAAGTTAAGTGTTTGTAGGATCGACACCTTACTTTTTTATTAAAAATATGATTTTTGTAGTTTTATGTAAAGAAATTGGAGCCTTTTAATATGGGAGAGCCCTTTGAAATGACAGATGTTTACTTTGCTATGTAGTTATAATGCATATAGGAATCTACTTACATTTTTGCACATTATTTTTGCTAATTTTCATAACTGACGTATATGACACATTACCAATGGGTAGATGTTTAGGCAAGGATATAATATTTTGTAAATTATTAAATTCCAAGGGAGCCAATTGGATTAAATGTATCATTTAGATAATTGGGTGACAGGCAGTCTTTACAAACTTTAAAAGTATAACAATTAATTATTATATTATTTTTAAAACTCAGCCGAGAAACCAATCTTCAACATCTTGCTCCAACACCCAACATGTTCAGCTAGTCAGTTTAGAGCACTCTTCACCAACGTAATATTTGTAAGGTTCAGTAGCTGTCTTTTTTATATCAGGCAAACTTCAAAGGTGGCATATTAGTTGCCAGGCTAAATGCATTTACCCTACAAGACAATGATTGTTGTGGTTTTATATTAATCCAGGACGGGTGAAAGTACTGCCCAAGTTTTCTATTCACCGGACAAGTAATCATAGCAGAGGGAAAGAACAATTAGGTAAATTTACCCAGACTGCCCTTCCTATCCCCTGTGTTCAGTTTCCATTTCCTCCCCTCCTCTGTCTGTCTCTGGGTGAAATTCACCTCTGTTTTCAGGTAAGCATAAGGCTCTTGATTGTGCAAGTCCTGTTTCACCTCTGTGTTGAGTATTTAAGCGGAATCTGAGTAGTACAGAAGTTTTGCACTGACTCTGTGAACAATGATGCCAATCGATTTGATATGTTATGTAAAGTGGACTGTTCAGCTACCCATTTCACATACATCAGTGAATAACCTAATCCTCTTTCCCAAACAAGATTCTTGTTATTATTGGGCAATGGGTACTCCTTACCTCTGGTCCTTGTGATCACTCAGAAAAATTCACACTACTTCCCTAGAAGTGACAAATTATGTTTCTCAGCAACTGTGTTCTGATTTATCCAGTCAGTATTATGTGTTGTTTGTTAGAGGCTTATTTCAGCGATGTGGCAAATTTGCAAATGCTACAAAACTGCTCAAGTCCAAAGCAGATTGCAAGAGTTACAAAGGGGTCTCACAAAACTAGGTGACTGGGCAACAAAACGTCAGACGAAATTCAATGTTGATAAATGCTAAGTAATGCACATTGGAAAGCATAACCTCAGCTATTTGTATCTATAAAATGACTGAGTTTAAATTAGCTATTACTAGTCAGGAAAGAGGCATGGTAATCATTGTGAATAGTCCTATGAAAACATCCAGTGTGCAGCAGCAGTTAGAATAGCTAGCAGAATGTTGGGAATAATTAAGAAAGGGATAGATAATATGGCAGAAAATATCATACTGTGTCCATGTAAACCCATATATTGAATACTGCATGCAGATGTAGACACTCTATCTCAAAAAAGACATTGGAATAGGAA